GTTAGCAGAAGAAGGAGCTGATGATCCTGCTTTGATTCCAGGTGGTGCTTGCCATCTTCTTGTCATATTTTTGTTGAGGCTTTCCTTGTTTTGTGATGTTCAGAGCTCCAGAACTTCACTGGAGCCTTTTCCAAATTCGTCCAGCACATCTGTTATTTTCAGACAATTGTGTGGAATGCATGTATGATGTGCAACATATTTTTGAAATGGAACGTCCCTCATCATCGTAATCAACATCCATTTCCTCCTCATTTCTCTGTTTTCAGGTTGTTGGCATAAAACGTATGATGAGGAGGCCTGTCCTGAGCAGAGTGTATGTGTACACGGGGAGTCACAGGTCACGACGTCTAAGACAGAACCAGCAACCCAGAGGACCCATGTGTGTAAGCGGTGTTTCTCTGTGTTCAAAGCCATTCTGCACCTGACTGAGTCACAGGCAGCGTACCTTGAGCAGAATGCCTTCTTCAATGACACACATGAGAGAGACTTCTTTTTCAGTGCAAACTCGCCAGCAAAACAGAGGGAAGCCAGTGGAGAGAAGCCCTGGAACATGTGTGAGAGACGTCTGTTTCAGTGCAACCCCTCACCAGCAACAGAGGGAAGCCAGTGGAGAGAAGCCCTGGAAAGAAGCTGTGGACAGGGCCTCGTTTGTGACCAGGTGCAGCTTCCTATCAGGGCTGCCTCCATCCAGGAGGGAGGGTGGGGAAGACTTGACAGCCATCTCAGAGTTTCTCCAGCCCCAGGCCCCTCTCAACACTGAAGAGCCACACGGTGGCAGTGAGATTTCCCAGAAACTTCTCAGTGGAAAAGGTCATAACCAGTGGGGTCAATGTGAAAATGCTGCCAGCCACAACCAGAAAGTTGTTCAACAGAGCGTCTGCTCTGGAGGAGTGAATTATGAATGTAACAAAAATGGAAAATTTTTTAGAGGAATCTCTAACCTCATTCGATATAGGAAAGTTCACACTGGAGAAAAGCTGTATGAGTGTAGTGACTGTGGGAAGTCATTCAGGTATATCTCTGTTATTCATCAGCACCAGACAGTTCACACTGGGAAAAATCCATATGAGTGTACGGATTGTGGCAAGACTTTCAGTCATAGGTACAACCTCACTAAACATCAGAGTGTTCATACTGGAGAAAAACCTTATGAGTGCAGTTAATGCTGGATGTCCTTCAGACGTAGGTGTAACCTCACTGAACACCAGAGAGTTCACACTGGAGAGAAACCTTATGAGTGCAGTGAATGTGGGAAATCTTTTAGATGCCATGGTCATCTTTTTACCCACAGGAGAATTCACACTGGAGAAAAACCTTATGAATGTAGTGAATGTGGGCAGTCCTTCAGAGAAAGGAGTACTCTTACTAAGCACCAGAGAGTTCACACAGGAGAAAAAAACCTTATGAGTGTAGTGAATGTGGGAAGTCCTTTAGAGGAAGGAGTAACCTCACCGAACACCAGAGAGTTCACACTGAAGAAAAACCGTATGAGTGTAGTGAATGTGGGCAGTCCTTCAAAATAAGGTGTGCCCTTACTAAGCACCAGAGAGTTCACACTGGAGAAAAACCTTATGAGTACAGTGAATGTGGGAAGTCCTTTAGACGAAGGTGTATCCTCACTGAACACCAGAGAATTCACACTGGAGAAAAACCTTATGAATGCAGTGAATGTGGGAAATCTTTTAGATGCCATAGTAATCTTTTTAAGCACAGGGGAGTTCACACAGGAGAAAGGGCTCATGAGTGTAGTGAATGTGGGAAATCCTTTAGCCAAAAAACTAGCCTCCTTTGACACCTGATTGTTCACAATGGAGAAAAGCTTTGAATGTGCACCCAATACTTTCTTTTTCTCATTGACAATAACAACACTTAAGGGGTCTCTTTGATACACGTTTAATGGAATATAAACCCCTTTTATCACAACATATACTCCCCTAGATTCCTCATAAAATTTCAAGTACATGTGATGCTTTAAATAACTGCATGGCACTTGCTAAGCTGCTCGGGCCTACTACCTGATTGATATCACTGGGAGTATTTCTGGGTGAGGTGATTTCACCTCCCCCACCTGGCTCACCTGTACAGGGAGGGTGCATCAGTCACAACCCCTGCGTTGTCAGGGAAAAGGAATTCTGTGTTCCCACCTCTGCCTGATCAAACTGTGATTTCTCTAAGCTCCTGGCAGGATCTTCATTCCTTTCTGACTAGGAAATGGAGTTGATTGAGGGTTCATCCAGCGCACCCATCCTCAGCTAAGTAGAGCTACCTATCTCAGGAACATTGTGGTTCTCACCTTCTGATGTGAGCTGATGATCCTGCTTCGATTCCTCGTGTTGCTTGCCACCTTTGTGTCATATTTCTGGTGAGGCTTTCCTTGTTTTGCGATATTCAGAGTTCCAGAACTTCACAGGAGCCTTTTACAAATCTGTCCAACACATCTCTTATTTTCAGACAATTGCGTGGAGAGCATGTATGATGTGCAACATATTTTTGAAATGGAACTTTCCTCATCACCGTAGTCACCATCCATTTCCTCCTTATTTCTCTGTTTTCAGGTTGTTGGCATAAAACGTATGATGAGGAGGCCTGTTCCGAGTAGAGTGTATCTGTACAAGGAGAGTCACAGGTCAGGGCGTCTAAGACAGAGCCAGCCACCCAGAGGACCCATGTGTTTCTCTGTGTTCAAAGATATTCTGCACCTGACTGAGTCACAGGCAGCATACCCATTGAATTTTCTAACACATGTCTGGTTTATGATCTTTTTGTCCAGGAGCTTTTGCTCATGTAATAGTACCTTTCATTTTGTTTGTCCTATCATTGATTTGAAAGCATGCTTGTCAGCATGTACAGGGGAAAAGATATTGTGGGAATCCCAAACCTGCTGTGCTTCTGAAGGCAAAGCATGGAGTCGGAAAATCACTTTGTCCATTATTCACTGGTAATGCAGTTCTGCCCAAGACCTTGAAATAAAGTCAGCACGACTTGGTGGTTCTCATTTGCAGCCTGGTGCCTCCTTTGATTGAGGTCTGACGTCATCCTGAAGATGGGGGTGGGGGGCTTTGTTGTGTTTCTGTGAACAATGTGAATTATATTCTCTGTTCACAGTGTGTATTACATACTGTCAAGGTGCACTGTGCCGTTATGAATGACATTTCATAGGCTGGTGTTGCTTCTATTGAGACTCTGAGGCTTAGGTTGAACTACCCCTGGGTCAGAATCCCTGTACTCAGTGAGAGGG